ACAGGCACTTTGCTCTTTATGAAATACAAACTCCAGCAGGAAGACACGTCCAGCAGGTTTTGTGGAAAGGTTTGGTTTCGACAACTACGCTTGACCATTGCACAATATTACGTGTGCTTAAAAGACTTTGGTACTCTGGTGATTGGATTATAGGCGCGGTTACAGGAGGAAACGAGCAGTGTCAGGGGTGGTTTCATCTCAGCACTCTGTGAGGTGTAGCAGCGATGGTAACCATCTCACTGGATTTTCTTATCTGTCTCAAAGGCCAACCTTAATATTCCGATGGGGGCTCTGCGTCCTGGGGCGGGACATCCTGTGAAGAGGAGAGAAGATACAGTAGACGCAGAGGAGGTCAGATTCTGCTGGAAGAAAGCTCACATACACACATTTGCACAATTTTATAAATAATCAAACAAATTAGACACATAAAGACAACTGTAATCATGTAATCAGATCACATTTAAATGTAAGTAAGTCGGTAAATAAATTAATATTTTACATAAGGCTAGTTTATATTTGGACCATTTAAACATTGTTCAATTATACATTTTCTTTCTTTCTTTCTTTCTTTAAAATAAACATATCCAATTCGGGAATATATAGAATTGACATTATTTATCAGATTTACATTATTCCTAATGATGATTCTCATTAGAATATTATGAATGTGATGCTGTACTTTTTTTTTTACAATGTTTTAAAATCAACATAAATACTATCATGAAGTACTAATAAACAATAATAAACTAGTAATGAAGGTGGAAAGAGAAATAAATACGGATGTTTTACATTGTTATTAATAATGTAATGTGTGCTGTAATTTTCAAAATGTTTATTTAAATGATAAGTACTAATAAACTATTTAAATATGCTTTTCTTATATTTAGTAAAAAGAAATATGCTTAGTTACGACTAATTAACACAGACACAAAACACAGAATTAAAAATCTTAAAAATGAAAAATAAAGTAAAATAAGAATTTAGGGGCAAATTTGCTTATCATAAAATGTCAGAAAACAATATTAATATTACCCTGTGCTTCTGAAAGAAGCTTCATTTTCAGTTGTTAATTTTTAAATTAATTTTATTCCTTCTTTTTATTTTGGCAGTAAAATATAACACGTTCTTGAGTGATTTTGTGAGGGCCACTCAGTAATATCTTTCACAATTGGCTTCATAGGCGTCTCCAGTGACTCCAGAGGAGAAAAAGCCCCTGCCTGGTGCTGTGAAACTACCGGGCCCCGCCGTCAACCTTTCCGAGCTCCAGAACGTAAAGAGTGAACTCAGATGGGTCACCAAGGACTAAACAAGACAGGTAAATCTGGCAGTCAAATATACACTCTCACACCCATTTTCCCCCATCTACTATTTTTGGTTAGTCAAAAAACATTGGTGGTTCTCAATCTTATGTACACACACACACAAATGCAAGCAGGAACAAAAGAGCAATCGTTTTATTCTAAATACGTCACATCACTGAAATCATCTAGAAAGGCCCCAAGCTGTTCACACAAATGACCACATGGTGTCAGTAGCTGTAAAAGTAGTTTGCATGTGTGTTAGTGTGCATATGTCAGTGCTGGAGTGTGTGAGTAGGTGTTTTTTGAGTGTGTAAAGGGGTATGAGGGCGAATCAGACTCTATTAATACCCCACAGATCAGTGGGGCAGTGAAAGACCGTCTGTTGTGTGCAGTCCCAGCATGCCTCACCAGACCTCCCAATTATAGAGCAAAACATGCTCTGTGACCCACTCCGTCCATTTGTAGGACATGTGTGTGTGTGCAAGAAAAACAAACAGAATTTGCTAAGCAAGCTACCTTGAGATTATACTGTTTTTAATGCTGGTAACCCCATTTAATTAATTCTTCTCATTTTCACAGGTGACTCCACCCCCATTTTATCCAAGGATTTGGTTACTATCTCCATCCAATCAGGTTCATGTATTTACCACAAACTCCCAGAGAATCAGTCGCAATGGAATCAACGACAAGCCTTAATGACAACGCTACCTACTGACCTGAGAATAATAATTGAGGGGGTGGATTCTATCGGAGCAAAGACTGATGGGAATTGAGCAACTCAAAGCTCTAAACCAGGGTTTAGTCTGTCTAAAATAGGTCATCACTTTTTAAACCCCCCTGTATCCAATTCTGTATTTTGTGTTTTAAAATGTACTGTGTGTTTGCTTAAAGGGATTGTTTACCCAAAAATGATAATTCTGTCATCATTTACTCACCCTAATGAGTGAACTATCCCTTTAAGTTTGATTTTATAGAAGTTCTGTATTCTCCTACTACCATCAATGAATCATAAAACAGAATATATGAGACTGAAGACATTGGCTAGTACGATTCCTCTTAAAATTCTTCCATTCTCCTTTAAAAAAGCCAGATTGTCTTGTAAGACTTGAACAAATGTGACACCATAAAATCAATATTCTTTCAATGTATTTTACATATAGAGTGATTAATATGCAAATAATTGCTATAAATTTGATTAATTAGTCAGAATGTCATGCATTAATTTGATTAAGTTTCCTCCGATTGACAGCCCTACTTAAAAGGCCTCACGCTGCAGGCTTGTTTTCACTCCCTACACATCTCTTTCTTTATCTATGGCTTTGTTCTTGTGTGTTGCAGTACATGAGTAGGCTGTTGCATAATAAAACATGATTTCACATTCTATCCAAAAGCAAACCCGTAGGAGGAAGCCAGCACTTGTTATCCTTGAACAAATAGAATTGGATTTCAAATGCCGCACCATCGGTTTGTTATGTACATAAACTGGGATCAGTTTAACAGTGTAAAGCTGCTCGTCTCCTCGCCTGTACTGTAAATCACACCATATGTATCTATACTGCTCTGTGATCTAGTTTACTAGCAGCAGGTGTCATGACCTTTGGGTGAAAGTGTCCTTATTAAAGATCATGTATTGCTCCAAAGTCAGTCAGTCTGCATTGGCAGCAGGGAAACACATGCATGTATAATTCAGATAAATTGTCTACATATGAATTTCATTAATTTTGTAAGACTATTTTCAGTAATGCTGCTTTGAAACAATGTATATTGTGAATTGGATCACGAAGTGAAAGACAAGCAACCAACAAGTGTCCAGTGTACATTGAAATACATCCAAACCTGTTGGAAAAGCTTCCCAGGATGCACCTCATGAAGTTGGTTGAGAGAATGAGAGAATGTGAGTACAATGATATAACAGGAACTATCAATCATGTGGAATTGGAATGGAATTTTTTAGGATTAGGCATCTGGCAGAGGTGCTTGGAACACAGAGAGTGAGCAGCTGTCTAACTAATCAACAAAGCCTTCATAATTCCCTTATTACCCATAATGCAATGCAAAAAGAGCCTGTAGTTCTAAAACTTCTAACTGAGAAGCTCAGCATATCTAAACTTTCGTCGATTTCTTGATACAGTCGTCTTCTCTGCTACCATATGCTTACTATTATACATTTCAGATTGTATATCTTTGAAATATGTGCATTAATTAAAAGGATTTTCTCACCTATAAGCCTTGTGTTCATTAGAGAATATCAAAATAATTCACCATGACCACCAGAGCCAAACAAATCCCCTAACAGGAAGATCAGACACCGTTATATTTAGAACGCCACTCAGGTCTGACAGCATTCTGGACTGAAGGGTCAAAACAGGGAGACCAGAGTACAAACACACTCACAAAGTGCCTGAACACATAAATCAGATGTATCTGCAATGAAATGCATGAAAAAAAAACATCAGATGTAAAATTGTTGATCATAAATAGTATTTATAGATTTTGCAGTGACGGAAGAGAGCATGATCTTGCAAAAGATCTTCAAGCATGCAATGAAGTGGAGTCTGGTTTTGTTTACGAAATTTAAAAAGTGTAGCATAACTAATGCATCAAATTTAGACCCCTGCAGTTTGTAACGTGTGTTTAAATATGTCCACTGATGCACAACAAGGCAGAGTGGAAAGACATGCCAAGGTCCCTAAAAGGCCAATTACTTGTTTTAAAGCGAGAATCCAAAGGGGTTGTAAGGTGAGCACAGGATTTGGCAGTACAAACAGTGAGACTACAAAACCACTTCCTTGAGACACAAGTGGCACACACACACACCCCTCTATGATTAATCATGACCCGTTGCAGTTGCACTTGAGTGCGAGTGCATTCACAAGTATCTCCAGTTACCAATTACCTTGTAAATGTGTTGTATTGCGAATGCTCTAGACAGTGGAGAAACCAATGTGATCATGATCAGAGGGTGTGAGAATGTAACCAGAAGCTCTATCATAATAACCCCTTGCTCTTATATTTAATACCCCCCCCGCAACCTGGCCTGATGCTGCCCCATCCCAACTCTGAGCCAGCAGCTATTCAGGGAGGATAAGGGTATGATGTTCACGAGGTTGGGATGTGTCCTTTTCGCTGTGGATCACACTTACACACAAGTACTATAAGTCTATAAATAAACCTCACTCATCAGTAATCTAGCCAACATAAACAAGTCAATTTCTGTAGTCTCCTGTTGACAACAAACTTTTTTGTCTTTGTGTCTTCCTGACAAACAATCTCCCTATGGTTCTCATTGTCCTCTAGGCAAGATTCTCATTCTATCAATCCTCTCTCTTTCTCTTTTCTGGCTAGACTGTGTCCTGACTGTCCCTCTGATCAACTCAAGTTTCTATTCCTGTCACCTTGGTGAGATATGGCTTCTGGTGGCGACAGACAGAAATCCACAGTGCTGACTAACTCCTTTATTTATCAAGAGATGACCTCAGATCTGCATATCATAATAAACCCCCAGCCTGATCCCTCCCGCTCTCGCTGTTCCCATCTAGCTAAATGGAAAGGGCAACTAGCTCGAAGTTGTGTTTACCTCCCGTGGCCCCAAACTGTCTGCCCATCATTCCCCCCTCCCTTCTACTGATCTGGTAGAAAACATGCCTATCTTGTTGAGGCAAAAGGTTTGGAGTCTGCCCACTGGGTGGAGGAGAAATGGCTGACCCACCCCTTTGCACTCCCAAAGCATGCTCATTTGATGCTTTGAGAAGTCATGGACCACATCCCAACAGACGCGGCTGGTGTACTGACCTTTTTCTTTTCTTCTCTATTGTTTAGTCTTGACAACTTTTACAGGAGCAAGTCGACATAACCACCTCTGCCTCCTCCCCTTTCTTTCTTTCCTCTTCCTTTTGTGCTGTCTTACTTTCATTCAGTCCTGACTCACCTGTTCCTGACCCTGGTCTTCCTTATTTCTCTCCCTTCCTCTCCAAGCGATGAATTACTACCTGATGCTCAGCAACAGTCATGGAGAAGGTGTTCTGTCTCGGTACCAGAGCTTGCGTCTAGAGGGTCGAATGTGTGATGTTGTTTTGGAGGCAGAAGGTGTGGAGTTCCCTGCTCATCGCACTTTGCTAGCCTGTTCCAGTGACTACTTCTGGTCTGTGTTTAAGGACTACAATCTGGAATCTGGTGCCCGCACTATCAGTTTGCCAGCCTTGTCATCTCTGGGACTGGAGCAGATACTGGACTTCATCTACACCTCATGGATCTCACTGTCACCCTCCACTTTGGAGGTCACACTACAGGCTGCCTGTTATCTACAGATCACCCATGCTGTGGATCTTTGCACTCAATACATCTCCGAAAGCATTGCTCCTGACAACTGCTGCTTTTTTGCTAATATAGCAGCTCGCTATGGCCTTTCTGAAGCATTCGATGACAGCAACTCTTTTATTGGCAGTAACATGTGCAGGATACTTGCATCTGAGGAATACAAAGCTGAGCTAATGGAGTTAAACATTGATTCTCTGCAAGAGGTGCTCGTAGCTGAGGAGATGCCAGGAGTGAAGGAGATAGATCTTCTGCAGCTGGTTTTGGACTGGCTAGAGTGCAACCCACAATCTGCCCTGCAAAGTAATGCATTGCTCAGTCGGATCCGATTTGGTCTGATTCCACATACAAAGCTGTCTCAACTTAGTGCACTTAAACCTGCTCTACGTACACCCTTCATCCACAGCGTAGTACAGAAAGCACTTAACTACCACCTTCAGGGTCCCCTACAACCTCTACTGCAAAGTGTCCACACCAGCCTAAGAGCAACAAAGAGCAAGATTCTTCTGGTGGGAGGAGGACCAGAGGCAAACAGACCCCAGAATCAGATCCTAACCTATGAACCTTGCTGTAAGAAATTTCAGCCACTCTCAACATCCTTGCCAAATAAACTACAGCACCAGGGAGTATGCGTTGTTGGGAACTTCCTATTTGTACTAGGTGGTGAGGTGGTGCAGGTGGATGAGGTGAATGAGAAAAGTGCTGCGATGACTGTTACTGACCAGGTGTGGCGCTATGACCCACGGTTTGAGCAGTGGGAGGAGATGGAACCACTCTTGCAGAAGAGGGCACAGTTTGCCTGCTGTGTGGTGGAAGGTGTTATCTTTGCTATTGGCGGACGGGGCCAGAAGGGTGAGCCTGCTTTGTCATCTGTAGAAATGTACAATATGAGTGAAGGGTGCTGGCGCAGTGCTGTATCCCTACCGTATTCAGTTCATGGGCATGCCTGTGCTAATATTGGAACAGGAATCTACATCTCAGGTGGCATCCATGTCAACAGCCCAGAGAGCAGCAAAGAAGTGCTGTTTCTGAATGCCTTTGAAGGGGATGCCTGGCAGAGACGTTCTAACATGTCCATTGCCAGATTTGGCCACCAGATGGCAACAGTGAGGGGAAGAATTTACACGTTTTTGGGAATGTACGAGGCCTTCTGTGACATTGAACGCTACAGTCCTGAGCAAGACCTGTGGACCCGTCTAAAGCCCCTACTGAATGATCGCTTCTGCTATGGTTTGACCACAACAGGGGGCAGACGTGTGCTTATGTTCGGAGGCAGGAAATGGCAGGAAGGACAGGAGGTGTGTACAACAAATGTGCTGGAGTACGACACAGAATATGATGCCTGGAGGGAAGTGTGTAAACTACCAGGGCCCTTGTGTGGGATTCAGTGTGCCATAATGACTCTTCAAGACCCTCCGGAGACCTAAAAGTCAAATACAAACACCATCCCACATACACACAGACAAACAGATGGCTGTCATGGGGCAGAGAGAGTTGAAGGACAGGGGTTATCTTTGTGTCATGGATCCATGGAAGGTAAAGTGGCAGGGAAAACAGGATTTCTATTTACCCAGATACAGAAGACTTGAACGGGGGGTAAAATGCTGTTAAGTGTTTTAAAGCAAGCAGCAAGGAGCTCCTGAAACTAGGTCACTATGAATAGAGCTCTAGGTATAACCACACTGAAATCTGGAGAAAGCAACAAGTCTCTTTTAAATTAATGTAATAAATAAAGTAAACTTTACCAGGTTGTACGCTAAACACAACACATAGGAAACTGCACTGCCCAAATGACATGCCCTACTCATAATAAAGACAGGCAGCAGCACAAATATTGATAAACTAGATTGTTTTACAACAACTTTGTGTTAAAAAATGGGCAGCTAAAGAAACATAACATGGTTTTCACTAAATTAAGAATAACTTTGATATATTACTAAAGTAAAATACCAATAGACATCCGTTCTAGTAGCTCTAAATCCACTGGTAATCACTTTCGCTAAGAGCTAATGCATTCCCATGATTCTCATGGACACATTAGCACCTGAGTCAAGCTAATATTGTCTTAGATTACATACAGAATGAAATGTGCTCCATTATATCATCAGAGTCATACCTGAAATATCAATGTACATCATATAATACACATCTTATCATACAATAAACTCACTTCTGAACATTCAGTATGTTCCTAAAAATCTCAAATAAAGCGTTTTTGTGTCTGCTGAGCGCCTGAGTGCTTCTTGGTCTGCACAGCCTTCCTGACAGTTGAAACACTGACATTAAATCATTTGGCAGCTTCGGTTTAGAAACAAACAAAAAAATGTGACTGGTATATCTCCAAGCCATGCAGAAAGAGATGTTTTGCTCTGAGAGTTTATAAAGATGGACAACCTCCCGAACTTTGACATACATGTATTTTCAGGAGTCGAGTTGCTGCTTCTGACAGATGCTGGGGTGAGTTCAGGGCAACAGCTTTGACCGGCCGAGCCGTGCGGCGAGTCCCTGGGCTGAGACCAGCAATGTGTCGTGATGACCACGGCTGTCATAAAAACTCACTGTTGTCTTAACACAAATGTCCCTAAACTAGCAGCACTGTGCAGGACAGCTGCATGGCAGCTTGTAGAAATGGAAAACTTGAATCCGAACAGAGGTATACAATAATGAAACATAATACTATTCTTCAAATTCTCCTAAAATGTTTTAATTGGACACAATAGTCCATAAAACTTCTTTTAGATTAAGCATTAAAAATGAACGGCACACTTTGTGCACAGACACACAATCACTTGTAAGTGCCGTCCCTGCTCACTCAAGGATGCAAGTTTTTGTGCTAGGAACATCATGTGTAAATCTGCTTTTGATTATGAACTCTCATTTGCAAAGAGACACATAATTTCACCTCATAATATCAGGAAACCGTAGTGAAGAGAGAACTTCCATAATTTGACTCAAGTTACAGAGATAATGCTGCTTCTGGATAATGGAGCCTGTGCAATTTTATACCAATCAAAGCCCACGCATTTCACTGAACGCTCATCCGTAATCAGAGGCTGAGTCTGGCAAGGCGTTATGCTCTGTCGAGAAGTGTTCACGGCACAGAAATATTCCAGGTTCAATACAAGCTGAACACTATCTACAGCATTTTTTGCATTCTGTCAATTACCACATTCAATTATTTTGACTCGTTTCTAATTGGGACAAGGCACTGGACCACAATCCATCAAAAACTCATCGATTCACAGGACTTAAACATATTGCATGATAATAATAATAATAACAATAAGCATTATAATTGGAGATGCACTGGTACATAAAAAGTGGCCGATATGGATTAGCCAATAATTATATCTATGTTATGGAAAATAGTTGATAAAGTATAAAAATTCTTTATTGTTTTAAATTAAATGAAAAATCTAAATAAATCACACATAAAACACTAAAATTTGCAGTTCATTTGCATTCAATGCATTGAATTCAGGCATCACATTTTTACAATGTACAATTTAACATCTAATTTTGGCTGATGTATGTCTGCAACTGACTGATACAAATCAATAAAAAAAAAAAAATGGTAGACTGTACATCCATAATAATAATAATTATTATTATTTTATAAAATAATATATTTAATATATTAAATAAAACAATGTTTCACAAATTATAACTGAAAACTTAAAGTAAAGGGTTAAAGTAAAAATTTTTTTGGCGGGGTTCTCCTGGTACAATTCACATTCCAGGGCCTAAATATCAAGTTGGGTCGCTTCCAGATCGCGTCTTTGATAATTCACACTGCGTGATTGTCACTCGCGTGAACGAGCACCGATTTGCCTCAGATTTCAGACATTTGTCGGCGATTTCGCAAAACCTGTCAGCGAGTGAAAAATCGGGCTAAAATCGTGCAGTGTGAACTCGGCATTAGACAACTTTGGAGACACAAATACAAGCTGCTTTTCTGCCCGAAAATTGCCTTGCCCCATAGCCTTCCATTTTAAGAGCATTACTATGAGTCAAGTCAAAATTGCTGACTGTGGAAACTGGCACCAAGCCAAAGATTCTGTCAATAGAACTGATTTGATTTTGAACCGGGAATATGCCTTTTCTTGGTATATCCAAACACTCTACGCAGACTGTGGTGAGATGAGAACCACATTAGAGTTCCATGTTCATGCACACGCACACAACTTCCACACAAATGTGGATAGTGCTATAAGTCGGGGCCAGCCGATGTATAACATCAGATCATAAATATAGTATGATACACTAGAGTATATATAGTATGCTAAAGTAGCAAATAAACATGGCAGATATTTTGTGTGATGACCGTCTGTGTGTCCACTGAGAGATTTGCTTCAAAAAGACAGACAAACACAGGAACAGCAGCACAACAGTGTGCCAGTCAGTGTGTTTAGAGTTCGAACGGAGCCTCAGATGTGCATTTCCTCTCAGAGTTCAGTCCGTAGCTTCCATTTCTGAAGTTCAAGTGCTCTGGTTCTACCTCGGCTTCCTGTCTAGCGGTAGGCCAGGTTTGTTCTCCGTGCGACGGCATTGTCCCTCCTTGTCTAAGCCACTTGGAGGACTGGTAACCATGGCAACCCTGTGTACAGAAGTGACATACTCTGAAGCTTGCGGGTTGTGAGTCGAGCCATTGAGAGAGCTTTGTTTGTACAGCTATCTGTGCCTGCGTAAACAATGTTTTTCAAGTATTTAAAAAGCACGTGTAGACTGAGTCTACGATTGCTGTCAGAATGTGAAAGCACAAGCAAAAGTGAGAAGTGAATTTGTGTTTACGGACCTTAATCAGGGAAGATGCTGTATCAAATTTGACATCAATTAAAACAAGGCTGTGAGGCATAAAAGTACAGTATGTTTAATAGGTTGAAATGTTGGAGATCTTGATATCACAGTTGACAGTTCAGACTTACAATGAAAATATGGATGAACTGAAATCAAAAATCATAAAAATTGTGGCTGATACAACAAGCCAATAATTATTTTCATGCCCAAAATTTAAATACTGCACAATAAGTCAATAATTATTTTCATGCCTAAAATTAAAATACTGTAAAATGCTACAAGCGAATTTAGGCATCACAAAATAGTATATAATGTACAGTATTCATTTTAAAATTAGTTTTTAAATGATTAATTAATTAGTTAATAGTTTTTAAACATTAATTTTAAGTGAGTGTTCGATGACAGGTAATCCAAATTACCGATGTGCATGCACAATTAAATATCAAATATTGGCTGATATATCAAATATTGCATGATACATTTAAATTAAATTTAAAAATCGTATAATTTAAAAAACAAAAAACAAAACAAAAATCTGTCACATACAGGCAGGGCCATAACTATTACTGGCTAGTCTCAGCATATTGTGATTCAAAATATATTCTGCAAAAATTATAGACCATAAACACTATATTTCATAATGGAGCAAGAAAATAACAAATATGAACTTGCATTGCTTAAATGGATACAAACAAATATGAAAAATGAGAAAGACAAACTTGACAGTATTTACTTAAAGTGCACCCTGTGCATGTAATCCGACATGCTCTCTATAACACCTTGGATTATTTTATGTTGATTACTGAATAATGTAACTTATTTATTGAAATTTTACATCTTGAATCACGCATCAACGCATTATTATATCCCTAAATGTTAATTCTGTACATAAATATTCCTCACAGCCTCATAATTAAAATGCAAAATTAGAGTCCACAAACACCAATTCAACCCTTACTTTAGCTTGAATGTCTAGCCTAAGGTCCATGGAAGTGAGACAGTGTCCATTGGTTGTGAACGACAACTACTTCAAATACTGTGGCAGTATTTCTGTGTAGAGTGATCGAACCGTGCGTTTGTGTGCGTCAGACGTGAGTCTCGATGTAGGAGTGTGTGTGCGAGAGGGAGGGTGTGCGAGGGGCGGGTTCAGGCGTGGCAGCAGGGCTGGGCTCAGAGGCAGGGCTTGGCTGACGGTCCCGCTGTGGCTCTCCTGAAAACAGCTCCATGTAAACTTTCTTCCATTCCTGGAACTCTGAGGATGTGAGCTTAGGATTGGCCAGCAGCTTGTCAATCAGTGCTACCTCGCCCTCCCTGTCCTATGGGAGTGAAGAAAGAGAGCAGTGGAGGGTGGGCATTACAGATACAGTCTCCTTCATACAGTGGTTAGGATGTCATAGTCAAAGCACGCCACAGGCAGTTAGCGTAGACGTGAAGTGATGTGGACTCAACCTAGATGAGCAGAGCGACACACACGCAAACACACATAGCATGCTCAGACTTGACTGGAGTCCTCTGGCACTGTGGAGCTTCGTGCCCCCAATTAACCGTCTTTCATTCAAGCCTGAGTGATAAGGGATGTTTATAATACCCTCCCAAAGCAACGGGAAGCTTTGCCCCAACATAATAAGCACAGCGCAGCAGCCCGGGCAGGTGGGGGGGACCCAACCATAGGAAGAAAAAAAAAGGCACCAGGCAGAGCCTAAACCAGGTTAACCCACACAGAGAAGCAGGGTTCAGAGAAGAGTTTGGCCTTACCAATAGACATTAGCTCATTTAAGCTGGTCAACATAGTGATTATTTGGTCTAAAATGGCTATTAGCTAATCTAAACTGGTTATTAACTGGTCAACATGGTGACTAGCA